CGATTGAATAGAATTTTATTATAAACAATTGTCTTGTAAATGGAATTTTTAAAGCATTCTGAATGTAAAGATAAAGAAAAATGTGTGCAAGACAATAAGAAACACTACCTGCCAAAAAAAAAGTGAAGTTTTGTTGAAATCGGTTGAAAAATGTAGGAAATCCGATCCCATATATAAACGAACACACACAAACAACCTGGGGTTTAAGTATAACTCGATATGAGTTGTCGCCCTTTCATTCTCGCGATGCCTCTTAATCGTGTTTTCAAATTGAGATTCGTGCGAAAACAATTGTGTTTTTTCCAATTTTGGGCGCTGTCCAATATTATTACCACCGCAAGGTAATTTTACGTAGTCCTGTGAAGTTTTGTTGAAATCGGTTAAAAAAATGTAGGAAATCCGATCCAATATATAAACGTACACACACACACACACACACACACACAACCTGGGTTTTATAATAAGTATGATTATTGCTACTAACCGCATTTCTGGATCTACTAACCGTATTACCAATTGTATTATTACGTCAATGCATTTATTTGTTATATTTCATTCCTGCGTTTGTCATTCATTTGAGACCGGATTTCATCGCGGAATCCACAACAGAAGCCCAATGTACCTATCATGGAACCCAGCCTGATAAGCGTATACCTTGCACGTGCGACGCTGTGTGATGACCTTTTTTAATAGAAACTGGCGCATAACCATTTAAGTGAGACCCAGTTAGGAACACTTTCACGTCGGGTAACCCAGTACGTTCAGACTGTCTCTAATTTGGGATCTCCTTAAGTATGTATATATGACTCCTTGGCTGTCTGATACTTCGGACTTAAAAAGAAAAATACAAAGAACTCTTCAAACCTGGTCATAGTGCTCCCCAACCTCCCTATTATTTCCACTCAGGAACAGTGTGCTAGGAGACGTCCAATCGTTTAAGATCAGAGTCAAAAAGAAAAAAGAAAAAGCCAATTTCGTGCAAGAGAGTTACTGGTAAGAAGTTAATACCATATATATAAAAAAAAATTCTCTCTCTAAAAATGCAATCTCTCTTCAAGACAGAGGCAATCATTGCTCTCCGGAGGTACTTGTTTTTCTGTTTTTTATCTGTATTTCCATAAATCCTTAGAATAAGATGGCGGAATAGTTTTCCGCTACCCTCTCCCCAGTTTGGTATTCAGGGTAGTTCCATCCCATATATAGCTTTATTGAATTTCTATAGTCCTATCGCATGTATACCATTATTGAATTTTTATTATCTATACCATATAAAGCATTATTGTGTTTTTATTGTCTGTTAAATATATAACAATATTGTCTGTAAAATATATAACATTATTGTCTTTTTTCCTAACTGTCATGGTCCGGTTCCTTGTACCACGGTGATAGTCCAAGGTAGAACCAATAAAAAAGAACTCGAACACAGGTATGGAATAACACAGATATATTACAAACAGGAATATATACAGAGAAGTAGAAAGTGTTAGTACGAACAAATCAGGTTTAGTAGAGAGAGCAATGTAGTCTCAACCAGGGATCACTATTCCAATGTCTTGCAGTAATTGTATGAACGCGACTCTGTTTTGGACTGCCTCTGATTCGACTCTTGACTCGACTTGAATTACTGACTCGACTTGAACTACTGACTGACGATATTCAGTCCCCCCACCACGAGGGTGTCATGTGGCACAAGGCCTTTTTAACGTGGGCACTCCGAGCCCGTGGACTCGGCCAAAAATATGCCCATTGAACCCGTATAAACGGGTTCAGGGCCGGTTTACCTTCCCGAAGGAGACTCAGCCCTTCGGCGTAGCCTCCTTCGGGTTCCTCCCGTCCGTAGGAAGAGAGTTCAACCGAACAGTCGCTCAGAAAGTGAGCGACTGACTGACTTGAACGACGCCTTGCCTACTCCTGAGGCGCAGTATTTATTAAGTATGGAATAGTCCATTATTATTATGGGTAAGATCCCATAACACTAACCCATACATGGCATTATTTTTTTATTATTATCTATCCCATACGGAGCATCATTGTCTTTTTATTGTCTATCCCATATAAAGCATTATTGTCTCTTTAGTGTCTGCCAAATAACATTGTTGTCTTTTTTCCTAAAACATATACGGCATTATCATACAGTGTAACCCGGATATAAGAAAGTTGTCGGGACCGGAGAAGAAGTCTCTTATATCCGGGTTTTTTTCTATTTTGTTTAGGTAAGTATGGGCTCTAATTTGGGACCAGAGAAAATCTCTCTTATATCCGGGTTTCTCTTTTATCCGGGTCTCTTATATCCGGGTTACACTGTATATCCCATACAGAGTATTAATGTCTTTTTATTGTCTATGAAATATATAGCATTTATGCATTTTCCTACACCATACATAGCATTATTTTTATTATCTATCCCATAAATAGTGTTGAGATGTTGAGTGTTTCCCCGTGCGTGTATTGAAATACTGACAAACACATACGTAGGGAAAAATACTGGTATATCTGAAGAGGTATTTACATCAGAGAGATTAGTAGTCAAACGAACGCAGGTTAGTCTGTAACAATCAGAAAGAGTATAACTGTGTCTTAAAGTTCAACATTCCAGACCCCGACTTCTACTCCGACTCGGCCCCCTAACATATGATACTGGAGATAAACACACTGTTCTTTGATTAATATAAAGGCTTACTATTTAAGTCTCTTCTGAGAACGTCCAACAGAAAATTGACGGTCTCCTTGCCCACGAAATCAACTTGCTGCAAAAGAAAAAAGAAAAGCATTCACTTCATCATCTGGATTGACAGAGACTTCGAAGAAAAATTACACCCTGCCGCCATTAAATTAGTGTTAGCTTCCATTAATGCTTGCTCCAGTAGATTCTATATAGACCCTGCTAAAGGAGTGGTGGCGCACGGTCTGAAGATGGTAGAAAGGGGTAAACCGATAGACACCATAAACTGTTGATACCCATGTCAACATTTTATATATATATATATATATATATATATATATATATATATATATATATATATATCATAAATTAACTGATTTAAAATATGGTTTCTTCGCCACACGGGAATTACCATGTTTCAAAAAAAAACGAAGCTAAAAACTTCAAATTTAATTATATAATTAAATTAAAAGCATTAGTTCTGTTTCATCTTCAAGCGAATTTTGGAATAACTTATTTTTAAATTTACTGAGTTTTAAACGCACAACAATTGATAATTTTATTGTTTCCAATGATATAGAGGAATCCAATTATTTAGACAGGGGCGGTAGCGTGTTCATTTTTATTAACTATTATTGTATGAATTTTGAGTTACATTCGAAAAAGAGATTAAGTCTATGTAGGGTAGAGGTGCATTTTTCAACGAATTTTGACATCGCATGTCGTCTGCTTTTTTCAACGCATGTCGTCTGCTTTTTTCAACGCATGTCGTCTGCTTTTTTCAACGCATGTCGTCTGCTTTTTTCTTTTTTGTTTTTTTTTTATCAACGAGAAAAAGGTTTTCGGCATTTTTCCGTTAAATTCGTACTTGTATACATAAACATTCTTTCTAAAAGGGGTGTTTGGATTAGAATACGTTATAGTTCTCCGCTGCTTGCTCAGCTGCCATTGCCCATAGGAACCACTTCTTCCACCTATATCGTGGCGACATGCCTGACTGCAATAGACGTCTCTTTGTCTCTGTCCGTAACGAGTGTAAGCGTGTCCTCAATGAAGCAAAGTCACTATTTGCTGCTCGAAGAAAGAACGTATTCATATCGCAACTTCGGCTCCAAGGATTATTGGCTTCTCTGCAAGAGCGTACTTAACAATAGCAAACCCTCTATACATCCTTTTTTCAACCAGTTTGAGGTTCTGATCTCTTCTGCCGACAAGGCTGAATGCTTTGCTCGGAAATTCTCATTCAATTCAACGCTCGACTTTTACGGTGTACCCACACCCGATTTCCCCCTTAGAACTGAGGCTCTATTGAGTGAGCTGCACATAACCCCGTCATCGGTATTGGGAATTACTCTAATTTAGACCCCCACAAGGCTATTGGTAGAGATGGGATGCCAGCCATTGTCCTGAAGAAATGTGCACCGGAACTGGCCCCTGCTCTCTCCAAATTATAAAACTACTGCTTCAATGAATCTTGTTTTCCAGACTGTTTGAAGTCCTCATCCATTGTTCCTGTCTTTAAGAACTCTGGAGACCCTTCTGACCCTTCTAATTACCATCCTATCAGTCTCCTCCCCTTCTTCGGCAAAGTCTTCAAAGCCTTAATTAACACCGAAGGGGTTAAGCACCTTAGATCCCATGATCTGCTCTCCAACAAGCAATATAGTTTCCGCTTTGTCCGTTCTACAGCTGATGTGCTTACGACCATCACTTCAGAGTTAGGGAATTACAGGTCGATTGTTCGACTTCATGCAATCATTCCTGTCAAACCGTGAATTGAAGGTCGTTCTCAACGGATTCTCCACCAGCTCCTATCCCACGAACGCAGATGTTCCCCAAGTCTCCATCCTAGGCCCTACTCTGTTCCTTATCTTCATCAACGAACTTCCCGACGTCACAGGTTCCCAAGTTGGCATCTACGCGGACGACATTACAATTTACTCCTGGCTCAAAAACAAATCTAGTGTCGTTGACAAAATTAACCTGGCCGTTCGTCTCGAAAAGGACCTCCAATCGGTTGGGGCAAGAATTGGCTGGTCAACTTTAATGAAATGTTATCGCCAAATACATATATAGGGCTACAGATGGGAATATACTCCAGTGAATTATATATAGAACCTTATCAACTCCTTCTGCTTATAGAAGTTTGGCTAGAAGGACTTAAGATGCAAATCAGAGTTAGCTTTCTTTGCTTATGTATTAGATCCGCTAAATTTGTAACTTATTAGTAAATGCTTAGCTATCGCCGACCCAGATGAATTAACGCACCTATGCAAAATGCCCTGAATATTGGCTGGCATATGCTGATTAATCCTTGCTTCCAACTTTTTACACGTCCGACCTATTCAGTCAGCGTAGCACTGATATTTAAATAATAAACTACGGCGCTAATATGATGGAAAATATCGATCTTAAAATGGTATCGGTTTGCGGGCTCATCTCAAACTCTATACCTATGTAGAGATAAAAAAGGTGATTACCTCTCTTTGCTGTGTGATGATGCCACGTGGGTCACGTGTCGGTGCTTAATGACGTCACTTGATAGAGTGACGAAAGTGATCAGTACGTCGGTTAGCTTCGAGAAGTCAAACCGAGCGTTTGTGTTTTTTTTTTGTTTTTTTGTTTGTTTTTTTGTTTTTTTTCGTTTTTTTGTTTTTGTGTTTTTTTTTGTTTGTTTTTATTTTATTTTTTATTTTTTTTTGATACGTGTAAAGGCTAAATCTGCCCACCCAGGCCAAGGCTAAATTTACCCGCCCATACAAGCATTCAAAGGCCAAGTTCACAAACCCAGAGCGCAGTTTTCCCGTCTGGGAAATATATCTTCGATAGAAACATAGAAGATAAATCCAACCCGATCGAATTGCCGTTGGGAAACTAACTTAAACATGTCTTCTCCACAAACACAAAAGAATCCTCCGGCTGCTCGAATTATCCTTACGAATTATTACAAGTAAGACTCTGTCTCTCCTCGACATTTTCACATTTACTGTTGTTGTATATATATGTTATAGTTGCTCTGTAGAACAAACGTAACTGTTTGAATATAATTTTGTGTATAGCTTAGCTATACAAAAACTCTCTTTGAGAACAAAGTATGTTTATCATTCCTTTTCTTTCATGCTATTCCATTCCGCCTGTGTATTAAGGTATTATTATATCAAGAATAGAATAATGCCCATAATGGGGAAATACAGAAATGAAATATTCCTTTTCTTGTATACCAATCCTATTTATTGGCTACCCCGGCGTATGGCACATAAGCAAACGGATAATAATCGTTTTCTTACATAGCAACTGCATTAGCTAATTAGGACTTTCTTCATACATATTGTCTAAGAAAACATTAAAATTTTAATCTCGATTCATGAAATATGCTATCAAATATTGTTAAATGGTTTTTATGATAATTTTCTTAATGATCTCTCCTCTATGGAGTTAATGGATTTAAAAGCAGTCATAAATTGGCAAATAGATCTCATCATTTTACAGTTGAAATGACTAGATGCAACTGTAAGTTCTATGCTAACCGTTTCTACTATCATAATTCTCCCTTGTAGAATTCTCTTCCGGCTTCTTACTTGCCAGTCAACTTTGATCTTCAAAAGTTTAAATGCAATGCCAATCGTTATCTTCTGTCTTCTTAACTGATGTTCTTTTATTCTCCTCTCTCCTTAATAATAGTTTTTATTTTCTCATATTCTCTAACACTCAGCCGCCCCTGGCGTCTTAGTAACTTTATTGGCTTGCTTGAGGTAAAATCATTCAAAAAAAAGGATATGATAATTTTAGAATCATGCAAATTTATCGAGAGACTGACTTCATTCCATCAGGCCGAATGCCAAACTAATCGTGTGGGTTCAAAATCGACGAGTTAAGAGGCCCGCCATTTTGTTTCTACTTACCGTATAGGTGTTATCGCCGTATTTGGCGATAACATTCATTACTTGTGGCAATACTTTTGGTATTTCATTGATGTTATGCATCAAGCGAGCATCTGACGCAAACATAAAGGCTGTCCCCGATCTGAAATGAAATGAAAAACAAGGAAATGTTTTTTGTCTGTTTGTTTTACAATTATGTTCACTCTGTTGAGCCACTCCAAACGAAGCGTTAGAAAGAAGCAAAGTTTATAGGGATGTGGAGGAAAGATAACGACTGACCTTAAACTTGTATAGGTTAAGATTGTGGTGATCGGGGATACCGAACAGAATGACATAGATAGATAGATAGATAGATAGATAGATAGATAGATAGATAGATAGATAGAAGCAGAATGAGATAGATAGATGCAAAATGAGATAGATAGATAGATAGATAGATGCGGAAACTGATACTGAACAGATAGATAGATGAAGATAGATATAGATAGATAGAAGCAGAATGAGATAGAGATGCAAAATAGATAGATAGACGGAGATGATAGATGATAGATAGATAGATAGATAGATTACGGAATGTGACTGATACTGAACAGATAGATAGATAGATAGATAGATAGATAGATAGATAGATAGATAGAAGCAGAATGAGATAGATAGATGCAAAATGAGATAGATAGATAGATAAAGATAGATAGATAGATAGATAGATAGATAGATACGGAATACTGATAGATAGATAGATAGATAGATAGATAGATAGATAGATAGATAGATAGATAGATAGAAGCAGAATGAGATAGATGCAAAATGAGATAGATAGATAGATAGATAGATAGATTACGGAATGTGATCGATACCGAACAGAATGAGATAGATAGATAGATGAATAGATAGATAGATAGATAGATAGATAGATAGATAGATTATGGAATGTGACTGATACTGAACAGATAGATAGATAGATGAATAGATAGATAGATAGATAGATAGATAGATAGATAGATAGATTATGGAATGTGATTGATGCCAAACAGAATGGCATAGATAGATAGATAGATAGATAGATAGATAGATAGATAGATTATGGAATGTGATTGATACCAAACAGAATGGCATAGATAGATAGATAGATAGATAGATAGATAGATAGATAGATAGATAGATAGATAGATTACATAATGTGATCGATACCGAACAGAATTAGATAGATATATAGATAGATTCGAGAGAGTGAGAGAATGAATTCAGAGCTACTCTCCTTGTCCACTGTTGCCTTCCGATACATCTGCTATCTCAAGCAAACTGTTTTTTTCGCCCAACTCTGTCGAAGGAAATAGAAATCGTCTTAAAACCTTTTGATTTCCCGTGCTTAAATGTAGGATGAATGGTACTTACGCGCTGAAAGCTACGCCCAAAAGCAGTAGGAAGGACAGAACTCTTCGTCTCGTCGTCGAACGATTGTGTTGTATCATTTTGCCACCACATTTTCCCGCGCAACGGCAGAGGCAAAAGCAGAAACCGATGATTGGGAACAATACAACAAAAATGACCCCGATACCAACAGCTACCAAAAAGCCCAGATGGTCTAAAACTAACTGCAAAAAAAAAAAAAAAAAAAAAAAAGTGAAAATCGATTCATGCATGGATTTAAATAACATCAATGTTACAAGACTAAACATGGAACTTTCTTTTCGTGGTCTTTGTAATATATATAGGGTGTACCCTGATTATGGGAAAATTAGCGACTCCCCATATGAGTCGTAACAGATGAACGAAGGACGCGGCAAATGAACAGTTTAAAAAGCACACTTTTTGTTATATAAATAATACATTTATACTACGAGAGAATTGCTAAACATATTTCTTTGGCAATTAATGTCATCGCATCCGTTTGAAATTGATTGAAACACTTATCTGAAGTTAATCATATCTTTTCTTCTGGTGTCTACTTGCCGATGCATTAACACGTCTATTCACGTTTGCTCGTGACCCGCATCGCCTGTCCCTTTGGTGTCGACTAAAACGCGTGCTTGCGCCTCGGTGGTCTTGAGGTTTATCTCCTTTGGCACCTAAAATCCATTTGGCTCCTAAATTTGTGTCTTGTCCATTATTACCAGACAACTGGACTCGTCTTCCCTATCAGGGGTCATATCAACCAAGTGGGAGATAACCTATATTTTTCATTCTTTACATTATTCGGACTATTGTCCTCATCTTTGTCGCCATATTTATTACGACGTTTCGGCCGTTGTACGCTCCGGCCTTCTTCAGGTGATTGGAATGTCGAACTGAACCCCTTGTTTCGCTCACTGGGATAGACTGTTCTAGATAGATAGATAGATTACAGAATGTGATCGATACCGAACAGAATTAGATAGATAGATAGATAGATTCGAGAGAGTGAGAGAATGAATTCAGAGCTACTGGAATAGACTGTTCTAGACAGATAGATAGATAGATTATAGAATGTGATCGATACCGATTTATTACAACGTTTCAGCCGTTGTACGCTCCGGCCTTTTAAGTATTTTTAGGCTATAATTTTTTTCTTCAGTATCTGTCTATATTTCTGAGATGAGGTATTATGTACACTATTTATATTATTTGGACTATTGTCCTCATCTTTGTCGCCATATTTATCACAACGTTTCGGCCGTTGTACGCCCCAGCCTTCTTCAGGTGGTTGGAATGTTGAACTGAACCCTTTATTTCACTCACTGGGGTAGACTGTTCTATTTCCACGTTCCATGTTTAATGGATGTCAGTTATCTCCTGTTAATTCCCCTATCCAAATTCTCCACTGCCATAACCGGGTATTGAACTCACACTCTTTCGGTCCTGTCACTGGATCTAACCAACGCCTTTATCCACTGTCCCATGTGTTCATGTGCATATTTTTCATATGTTTTAATTTTTCCTAACTTAAAAAATGATCTTAATACTGACATTTAAATCAATCTTTCGAAATAAAAACCTTTTGTTCTTCTTAGCATTTATATTTATCCTATAAAAGCCAGAATCGGCCCTCAAGACAATATTTAACAAAAAAAAATTTAGAACTAAAACATACATCTATCATCTGTTTTATGGTGCGTTTGAAAGAACCACGGTACTAATGCTGCTATTGTTTCACTTAAGTTCACCCAGTAAAAGGGCTCAAGAGCCAATCAAGGCAGAGTGTTACTGAAAGAGGTGGTTGAAATGAATGTGCGATTACGTAGTAGGAAACGAAGCTAATGAGAATGAGGAGGGTAAATAATGATTAAACAGGTTAAGTTCGTGGTATCCAGGGAAGAATACACACGGGATGCTTGTTCCATGAAGTACGGAGCAAATGAAGGTGATTCGACACTGTGGATGTAGCATGCTGTGTTCTACATACTGCCCAGTAAAAAAAAAAGCGTAAAATTCAGAAAGACGTGGGATGACCTTTGAAAACTGGGGACAACTGATGTGACTGAAAAATTCTACAAGAATTTCTGCACTATTTACATTATTCGAACTATTGTCCCTATCTTTGTTGCTATATTTATCACAACGTTTCGGCTGTTGTATGCTCCGGCCTTCTTCAGGTGGTTGGAATGTCGAACTGAACCTTTTATTTCGCTTGCTGGGGTAGACTGTTCTAGTTCCACGTGCCATGTCTAATAGATGTCAGTTCTCAGTTATCTCCTGTTAATTCACCTTTCCAAGTTTTCCACTGCCTTAACCAGGTATTGAACTCACAATTCTTTGGGTCGTCTTTGAGTATAGAATCCGGAGGTTAGCAGTGAAGACAGTAGGGAAGCGTTGTTCAGGTTAGCAGTGGATATCCCGGTAAAAGTAGCAGAGCGTAGTTCTTCCTTCTGTTCCTCTTCGCCTGACAAACTGGTACTGGACATTCGGGTAGAGTAAACAAAATGGCTGCCTTTATACACGACGGATTGAATATTGTACGTCTTCTGGTTGATTAACCTTCTATTGGTGGACTATAAAGTGAGTCTAGTAATTCGGGGTGGCTCACTAGTTACACAATATACACAACAAACTGCAACAGATCTAACCAACGCCTTTATCCACTGTGCCATGTGTCCTGAAAAAGGCCGGAGCGTACAACGGCCGAAATGTAGTGATAAATATGGCAACAAAGATTAGGACAATAGTCCGAATAATGTAAATAGTGTATATAATACCTCATCTCAGAAATATAGACAGATACTGAAGGGCCGAAATGTTGTAATAAATATGGCGACAAAGATGGGGACAATAGTCCGAATAATGTAAATAATGTACATATTACTTCATCTCAGAAATATAGACAGATACTGAAGGGCCGAAACGTTGTAATAAATATGGCGACAAAGATGAGGACAATAGTCTAAATAATGTAAATAGTGTATATAATACCTCATCTCAGAAATATAGACAGATACTGAAGGGCCGAAACGTTGTAATAAATATGGCGACAAAGATGAGGACAATAGTCTAAATAATGTAAATAGTGTATATAATACCTCATCTCAGAAATATAGACAGATACTGATAGTCCAAAACGTTGTAATAAATATGGCAACAAAGATTAGGACGATAGTCCGAATAATGTAAATAGTGTACATAATACCTCAACTCAAATATATAGACAGATACGGAAGGGCAGAAACGTTGTAATAAATATGGCGACAAAGATGAGGACAATAGTCCGAATAATGTAAATAGTGTACATAATACCTTATCTCAGAAATATAGACAGATACTGAAGGGCCGAAACGTTGTAATAAATATGGCGACAAAGATGAGGACAATAGTCTAAATAATGTAAATAGTGTATATAATACCTCATCTCAGAAATATAGACAGATACTGGAGGGCCGAAACGTTGTAATAAATATGGCGACAAAGATGAGGACAATAGTCTAAATAATGTAAATAGTGTATATAATACCTCATCTCAGAAATATAGACAGATACTGATAGTCCAAAACGTTGTAATAAATATGGCAACAAAGATTAGGACAATAGTCCGAATAATGTAAATAGTGTACATAATACCTCATTTCAAATATATAGACAGATACGGAAGGGCCGAAACGTTGTAATAAATATGGCGACAAAGATGAGGACAATAGTCCGAATAATGTAAATAGTGTACATAATACCTTATCTCAGAAATATAGACAGATACTGAAGGGCCGAAACGTTGTAATAAATATGGCGACAAAGATGAGGACAATAGTCTAAATAATATAAATAGTGTATATAATACCTAATCTCAGAAATATAGACAGATACTGAAGAATTCCTGCATATTTCCTCAATCCCCACATCGGATGTTCTTCTTTGAAAAGTCCGATAACTTGGCGCTCCAAATCACCGAGTTGTTTAGCGATACGAAGGGTAGAACGAAAGACGAACGCTGTCTGCAAATAACCTTTAAATGACGAGTCACGAGATCGAACAGCAATTAATCAATCATAAAAGAACCAATCAAAGTTAAGCAATTAGGCGAGAGTCGAATGATTATTCAAGATCATGAATATTCAACATTATTCAACGATATTCAAGATCAATTATTCCCGAAAGATAATAAATTAACCGCTTTTTTTTTTAATGGGAACACTGTAGATAAAGATTTGGCAATGTCTCTCTTTTTAATCCTTTCACTCCTAATCAAGGCAATAAAGTCACTAAGACGCACGGGGATTACTGAATATGAGAAAAAGAAAAACATTATTATTATCTACTACATCGAAAAGAACAGGAATGAAAACAGGAATTGAAATGAACAGGAATTTCCACGTGTTGTAGAAAAAATTCTATTTGCCGCGCCGGAGACATGTGTTCTGTATAGACATTTTGTAAGATATGTGTTCTGTATAGACATTTTGTTAACATAAGTTAACAGTTTTGTTTTTTTCTTCTTTTTCTTTTCTTTACAACTACAGAATTATAAACCACTCTGATTTGAAAGTTGATTTTTTGAAATGCCAGGGTGATTCCGTTGGTGATTAGTGAATTGGGATCAATCCCATTAAAACCGTATGATTTCCTTGACCAGTTAGGAAT